ACGAAGTAAAGAAGATTGAGTTGGGGCCTCAGTGCACTCTCAAAGAACAAATTGAGAAGGACGCGGTTCGTGTTTAAATTAATTTTCTTGTCTGTGTTTGAAGAATATGGTGTTGTGGTTTTGTTTCTGTCTAATGTTGTTGTTTGTTTGTTTGTTTGTGGTGATAATTTTGGGGTTTTAGGACGATGAGAGCTTGAGGAGGTGGAAGGAACAGCTTCTTGGGAGTGTAGATGTTAATTCTGTTGGCGGTAATCTTCATAACTAGCCAAATTCTTTTACTTTCGAGTTCCTTTTTTGTCAAATGGATAATGGGGCATCAAAGTGTGTAAATTACTAAATTTTGAATTTTCCCTTTTAATTTACAGCTAAAGTCCATAACTTTATGACTCCGCTTGATAACCATTTCAGTTTTTAGATTTTGGAACTGAAAACGAACTTTTCGTCAACTAGAATCCTATCTTTCATGTATACATCAGAGGTCAAACATGTTCTATGCTGCGAAAAACTGTAATTTTTAATATTTCTGGCTTGATTCGTACATTGTGCGCTTGATTAGTGCAATGCGAGTAAATTTTGGTCTAAACTAATCTTTTGATTAGGTTAGTTAAAATCTGCTTCATGTTTTAGAAGGTATATAAGTTGTTTGCATGCTTTTGCTTTATATCTTTATATGTTTATCGATGCATCTTCAACGTTCAGTAAAAGAGATGTTTGTAATGTTTGATTAATTTCTCTCCGAATGTTTTCGTTGTATGGATATGACACTGATTTTGGCTAGCAATATGCGGTCTTTATGTTTTCTGATTGAACTACTTTGTGTTTCTGTGTGTTTGTGCAGAAACTCTAGAACCAGATGTTAAGATCATGAGCCTTGCAATTAAATCCCCTGGCAGATCTGATATAATTCTTCCGATTCCTGAGAACGGAAATCCCAAAGGGTTGTGGTTTACTTTGAAAGAAGGTAGCCGTTACAGCCTCGAATTCACTATTCAGGTCAGCAATAACATTGTTTCAGGTCTCAAATACACTAACACAGTCTGGAAAACTGCTGTGAAAGGTACTCTCTCTCTCTCCCCCTCTAACACACACACGCGCATATTCATATTATGTAACAGCATAGATAAGCCTTAAGGAGTTTCGATCTTTTTGTTCTCACGGATTATTTTCTTCGCAGTTGATAGCACAAAAGAGATGCTTGGAACATTTAGTCCACAGTCAGAGCCTTACACACATGTGTTGCCTGAGGACACAACCCCCTCGGGCATATTTGCTAGGGGATCTTATTCAGCTCGAAGCAAGGTAAGTTAAACCGGCGCTTGATGTTTCCATAGCCTCAGATCTTTCAAAGCAGATTCAGAAAACCGTACCCTTATGCGAAAAGAATGAACAAGAATGAAATACATTAGGATTGTGCCCCCACTATTGAAAGCCCTCTTGGACATGAACTCCGCTCACTGTCTCACATTTTTCCCTTTTACTTTTGTGGCGCAGTTTGTTGACGATGACAATAAGTGCTACTTGGAGATCAATTACACCTTTGATATCCGAAAAGACTGGCAATCGGCGTAAAAGTCTATCCGTTTTATCGATTTGTTGTCCATTGTTTTCCCAAGCTGAGATGATCTGCATTAATTCGTTGTAAACCTGTGAAAAATATTCCACTGCTTACTAGGTGTATGTTGGTTAACAAATTGAGCTTTGCTTGCTTTGGCACAACTCTCCTTGTTCTCCGGGATTACAATTGTTTGTATGATTAACTTAATTTTCTCGTGTTAATTGACTGCTTCCGTGAGGAATTTAATGCTGAAAGAAATGCGGTGAAAAAATATCAGTGGGGATGTGGGCCTTTCTTACCCTACATTCTCAGATTAGTAGTGAAGTTTCTCCCTCTCATTGTTCCACTCAGTAATAACCTCATAAATCTTTAAACATGGCAAATTTCTCGGTTTTGCTCTTACGAAGAACAAAAGCGTAAGTAAACTACGAGCTCGTTTGGAAGTGTTTTTAAAATAGTTGAAAACTCTTTTGGTGAAAATATTTTTGAAACCAATTCTTAGTTAAAATACAAGTGGATCTTGAAAAGTAGTTAAAGTGTTTTTGGAACCCAAAAACATTTTCTCTAAAGTCATTTCAGTTATTTTAAAAGTACTTCTAAAGGAGTCCTATGATTTCAATGATCAAACCCCCATATTTCTCTTTCACGCATTTAAAGGTACTAACCAAAATAACGAACTCTCTATTCGACGACCTGCCCTGATATAGATAAGTGCAGAGTGTACATTTCTCTATTGTTCCAAATCTTTCTCTTCTTTCTTCTTCCTAGTTCGTTTCCTAGTGTACATGTTTTTGTGTTAGAGACAACATCACCATTTCGTTTTTAGTTTTGATTTCTTGTGTTAAAGATAGAGTGCAAAGACATGGGAGAAAGTCCCTTCGGCCGGGGACATTCAATGTACACTAATTTCTTCACACTTTTCACACTCCTTTTTCCATATACTTTTCATTTATATACAGCACTAAACTAATAAAAACTAAAATTAAAAAACGGAATGATTTCGTTAACTGACCCACATGCATAGAATAGGGGTACAACGGAGGATGGGATTTCATAGACTCATCTATCGGTTGGCATTTCTGGAGCTCGTGATCTACATGGCCTGCATGCCTGAACGTACGGTTTAGGGTTTTGCACATCTGTACCATTTATAAGCTAGGCTCAACCCACAAATGCGGAGCTAGGAAATTGAGTGATTCTTTTACGTACGACTCGACCTTTCCATCTTCCATGTTAAAAATACCCATGTCCTCTCCTTGTTGACGTTGAAGTGGACGATTCGTGTAATATATGCAATTTGCTTTACATCCGTAGTTTGACGCCTCAGCGGAAAATGAAGAATTACAACCTAGGAATAGACTTCTGTTTCCCAAGTTTTTTACCTCCGAGTTCGACCAATTTCCATCACTCATTGGCACCTCAAAAACCCTAAAGTACTCAATGGTTTCTATAGGACACTTGACGAGCAACAAGGCCCCCACCGATTCCACAAGGTATAGTTTCTCAATGATGTAAGGGCTTTTAAATTCGTACGGCAACCTTGGGACAATAACCCTTGTTTTTGCTGGCGCCTTAGGATCTTCAATTTCACATACACAGATTTCGCCGAAGTAGTCCACTGCATAAAATTTTCCCTCATAATAAGTTACATCGAAATACAGTCGATCATTTGTTTTCGACGAATCTATGACGTTCCATTGTTGGTCGCCCAAGCCCGGTCTGCAAAATGCGAGTCTTTTACAACTATGAATCATGACAGTATAATCCGATGTCCATGAAGGGCTTGATGACAAGACGAATTTCCCAACGATGAAATCACCAAACAGTTTTCGATGTTCTTCTTTCGAGTGAAGATTTTTAAATGTTTCAACGTCTGGAAGCTCAATGCACATATGATTTAAAGGATGCAATAAATTAACTTCCGAATCTTTATCAGACTGAGTCATCAACCATCCTAGGGAAGAATAAAACAACTTTCCCGTAACTAATTCTGGCATATTTTGTTTGAAAACCTTGCCATGTTTCAAGCTGTAAAACTCACGGGCGGTAGTGCCCTTCTTCTCCGGAAGCATAAGTAATGGAACTTGATGTGTTCTAGTAAAGTTTTCCTTGGTCGCGGTGGATTTCCATGATCTACAAACCGCACCAAAAACAATAAAATCCTCCAAGAGAAGCACTCGCTTGGCGATGGAGACGACGAGATCAGGAGGAAGATCGGACCACTGAGCCATCAAGTCTGTAACTCAAAGAAACTGTTTAAGAAGAAATAACGAGAGGGTTGAGACTAATACGGGAGGTTTGTAAATTGTGGCTCTGCCCTGTGTCTACACTCCTGAACTATATTTATATACGCTCTATTAGATTCCTTGTAGGTTTTTGCACTTCTCCTTTCCTGTTTGTTTGTTTGTTTTTTTTTTTTTTTTTTTTTTTTTTTTTTTTTGCTTTATTTCCTTTTTCCGTCATGTGTTATGATCTAGGTATCATTTGAGCATTTCTTTAATGCAAATGTTATGTCGATACATGTTGGTGTCACCAGTTCACTCATTATAACACATATTGTAGTAATGACTTGTCAAATTAAGGGTTGGTTTGGTATTGTTGTGCTTTGAAAAAAAGTTGCTTCTGCTGTGCTGTGAGAATAAGCAGCTGTGAAATAAAGCAGCAAAGTGTTTGGTATACATTTTTGTAAAAGTGCTTTTGAAAAAAAAAAAAGTAGTATTATAACGTTTGGTAAACTTTTATGTAAAACAGATGTGGAAAAAAACCGATTTTTCAAAGCTGGGTTTTGCAACTTCTTGTTTTTGGCTTTTTTTCACCCAAAACTGTGAAAAAAAGCTGAAGCTGAATGTTTACCAAACAGAAAAACAACTCCCAGCTTTTTTTGATACCATCTTTTTTCAGAATCACCTCAGTACCAAACCAGGCCTAAAGCCAAATAATTACGGAGTACTAGGTAGAAATATGGCTTGTGTATTGATTTCTGTAAAATATTACAATAGGGTTATATGAACGCTAATTACATTTAGAAACTACATTCCTATAATACATGAAATAATTCCAACTTTAACTTAACACATAGAGCTCGTTTGGATATACTTTTAAAATGACTAAAAGCGCTTTTAGAGAAAATATTTTTTTGTTCCAAAAGCACTTTAAGCGCTTTCTATAAGAAGCACTAGTTATGTGCTTCTCTCAGGAAGCACTTTAAGTGTTTTTTTAGGATTTACTAACATTTTTACTAATGATTATTTTCAAAAATATTTTTACCAAAAACACTTTCAATCATTTTAAAAACACATTAAAACAAACTAATATTTATGGATTAATGATATAATACGTTTATGCATAACATCACATAGCGGACTTACTATAACATTAAAAAATGGCCCAGGACTTCTCTTTGGACCTATTAAGCATTAGGCCCATATTTACCCTGAAGGGTTCCGGGAAGCCCAATCCGTTACTCCTCTACTCCTTCTCGAGTTTCGACTGAGCCTTCCCTTCCAGTTTTCCTTCGAAACAAAATCGAAAGCTCTGTCTTCTCCGACCGCGAACACCAAACTGGTCCAGGTACTAATTCTGCAACCTTCGCCAAGCTAATTTCATCTGAATTCTCTCAAACACATGTAATTTTCAAGATATTTTCAATTTAATTCGGTCGATCAAGCAATGAAAGATCCTAACGCACGTAACGGTAACACTGTGATTTTCTCACTTTCCCGCGTTTTCTTGGCAACGAAACAGAGCATTATGCTTTATTTTTTGCTGTTAAAACTCGGAATTTTGCAATTAAGTTTCCAGTCGACTGTTTTTTCCTTGTTTATTAACTTTTTATAGGTTTTACATTAGAACTGTTTTCTATCTTTCTGTTGCTGGTTGCGTCATGATATGCATCTAGGGTTTCAGAAATTCAAATTTTGATTTTTTCCCTAATTTGTTTCTATTATTGTTGAAATGGGATTTAAATTGGGTTAGGAGAATGAGCTCTAAGAGGGAACATGAAGGTAATGTTAATGTGAACGTGGAAGGGTTTGAATCGGACCCAAAAAGGCAAAAACTAAATGAGCATTCATTGCCGCCACCTGCCTCTGAAGGCACTCTACTTCCGGGTTTTAATTATGGCGATGTGGACGACGAGGACAACCACAGAAGGCCACCTGTGAATGGCTCTAATGGGGACGGTGGCGATAATCAAAAGGGTGTACAAAATGGGGGTCAAGTCGAAGAAGTAGAGGATGATGATGATGATGATGATGACCTTGAACAAGGACTTTACCAAAGGCGGGGACGTGAAATCGAGGTCAGGAGGGATTGCCCGTATCTTGATGCCGTGAATCGCCAGGTATATTACTCTTCTAAGCTGTTACAATATGGTATTCCAGCTTGTATGTGTATTATTCGGACAAAAGTATCTGGTGTATTGATACTGATTGCTTGTTTGTCTTTGTCCAGGTTTTAGATTTTGATTTTGAGAAGTTCTGCTCTCTGTCCCTGTCAAATTTGAATGTGTATGCATGTTTGGTTTGTGGGAAGTATTATCAAGGCAGAGGGAAGAAGTCCCATGCATATACTCATAGCCTTGAAGCCGGACACCATGTTTATATCAATCTTCGAACGGAGAAAGTTTATTGCCTTCCCGATGGATATGAAATAAGTGACCCATCATTGGATGATATTCGGCATGTCCTAAACCCAAGGTCTGATTGCATTTTCTTATTTTTCTGGTCTTCCTTGAGTATCTTTTAAGTATGCATGCTTAAATAAATAATTTTTAATTCATTTGGTTCTTTATATGCAGGTTTACTGAGGAACAAGTGGAGCAGATTGACAAAAACAAGCAATGGTCCAGGGCACTTGATGGTTCCGATTACCTTCCTGGAATGGTATTGCTTTTTGTTCTTACTTGCACAAGATTCCATATGCATTCTCTTGCTGCTTTTCTCAATTCCATATGTGGTGAATACTATAGAGTTTCCTTTCCTTTGTATTAACTTACTCGGGGAAGGACCTTTATTCCTTGCCAAATAAGTATTTAGCTATGATAAATGTATTACCTGGCTAGCCAACAAATAGAGCTATCATAGAGTTGCTTGACAGTCTTGATAGACTTTTATATGAGCGAAGGAAGCACCAGTCAGCATGATTCCAGTGGTTAGATTATATAGATTTTCTCTCTCATCGATAAGGTTAGACTAGATTGTGTTGAACCACATAAGTACTGTATTTTCATGCTTGCAGCATCTATTAGGAATTGATCTGTATGATGGGTGCACTTTAGTACAACTTGTATTTTAGCAAGATACAGCGAGTGAGGTGTTAGTTCTAGCTCCTAATTGTTGGTACCTGTGTTTTCATGATTTTGCCAAAAACAGGTGGGGCTCAATAACATTAAGGAGACTGATTTCGTGAATGTCACCATACAATCTTTAATGAGAGTCACTCCTCTAAGAAATTTTTTCCTTATCCCTAAGAATTATCAACACTGCAAGTCTCCGCTTGTTCATCGATTTGGGGAGCTAACGAGAAAGATATGGCATGCACGAAACTTCAAGGGACAGGTTTGATCTTGATTCTTTTAGATTCCATATTCATGTCACTACGTATTGCTATTAAACATAAAAGTTCATATGTTCTAAATTGGTAATGTCTATAGGTCAGCCCGCACGAGTTCCTACAGGCAGTTATGAAAGCCAGTAAGAAAAGGTTTCGAATTGGAGCACAGTCTGACCCAGTTGAATTCATGTCATGGCTGCTTAATAAGCTGCATGGAGATCTTAGAACTTCAAAGAAAAATAGCAGCATCATATTTGAGTGCTTTCAGGTTTCTTTCTTATTCTTATTTTCCTTTGTTTGCTGTATTGTTGTTGCTTCAACTTAACCTGCACTTATTTTTGAGATTCTAACATGTAATATTCTGTGAATAGGGGGAACTGGAGGTTGTGAAGGAGATTCCTAATAAAGGTATTGAGAGAATAGAAAATGGTGATGACCAGAATACAGGTGCTGCTACTGAAAATAATGGTATTGTTAAGGAAACTTACAAAATGCCTTTCTTGATGCTTGGATTGGATTTGCCCCCACCACCGCTTTTCAAAGATGTGATGGAGAAAAATATAATACCCCAGGTACTTGAACACTATTTCATGCGTATGACAACTTGAGTAACTTTTTCCTAGCGTGTGGAGGGGATTCTCAGGGCTACGTAAAACATGTTGGAATTTGCTTGAGTTGCATAATACATTCATTGACTTTAAATGGTGCCATTTGTCCAACTTGCTAGATTGCTTTCAGTCGGAGTCTGTAATAATATATCTTGGGTAGTTATAAATGTGTAGGCCATTAAGGTGGGTAGTTGGCCAATTCCTCATGTTTGTTGGTCAGAATGGAGGATAGTTGTTTCTTTGAACTAAGGGGTTAATTTAATTCCATATCGTTACTTGATTCGATCGCAATGGTTTTCTGTTTTCCTTGAATACTAAACCGAGCCTCGGAAGATTCCAAAGCGTGCCCTTCATGCATGCCTCATCAGTCTTACGTCATTCTCTGTTTAAATGTTTTATAGCACTGTTATTTTGAGTTTTCTTTTCAAAATGTATTTTGCATTTATCAGTTCTGTCTGGTTTGGTTTAGGTCCCACTTTTCAACATTCTGAAGAAATTTGATGGAGAGACTGTCACTGAAGTGGTCCGACCTCGCATATCAAGGATGAGGTATCGAGTCACCCGACTACCTCAGTATCTTATTCTCCACATGCAACGTTTTACAAAGAACAATTTCTTTGTGGAGAAGAATCCAACTTTAGGTGAGATTATATGTTTTTCGAAATATTTTGCATTGGACTAATCAGTAATGCTCATATTTTGTATCTGAATTAATTTTCAGTGAACTTTCCTGTGAAGAATCTCGAATTGAAAGACTACATCCCATTGTCAACCACCAATGAGAGTGAGAGGTTGCGCTCAAAGTATGATCTCATTGCCAACATTGTACATGACGGTAAACCTGGTGAGGGTTCCTACAGGGTGTTTGTACAAAGGAAGTCCGAAGAACAATGGTAAAATCTATTCCGTATTTTGTTGGCCTAATATAAACCAAAAGAAAATGGAAAATGTAAGGGCTAACTTGTGGCATTGTTTTCAGGTATGAGATGCAGGACCTTCACGTCTCCGAAACCCTTCCCCAAATGGTTGCACTGTCCGAGACATATATGCAGATATACGAGCAGCACCAGTAACATGAGACGATTGGAGGACTGAGGTGGCAGATCGAATTTGCATGAAATTCGGAAACATTCGGAATGGTATGGTTCTGTGGATTTGACAATTTGTAGTTTTGATCTAATTTTGACATTCAAGCAACCGATATTATACAGCTTTGCGTCTGAAAATGTCTTGTAATTGAGGTGTAAAGTACCGAAAGGAATGTAGCGAACTGTTTGATGATGATCTGTGCCAAGCGTTGTTTAGTAATATTATTTCGCTTTTGCTTTTCTATGGTAATTCAAGTTAGGGTAATTCAAACAGCTGTAATCTGATTGATGCTTTCCAGTATTACCCTACTCAAATTCAGTTGCATTACTCTTGATGCCGTCAGGCGGAGGGCTGACATTCGTTCGTGTTATATTTTCCAGAATTTTACCAGAATTTTGTGGACGTTTGAGAATATTTGCTGCTAATAGTGGGGAGTAGGTTTTGAAAATTGCTGCTGGGTGTTGATGTTGTCACAAGTTTTAACTTGGACACGCCAGGTTTGACCCTTACTTGAAACGCCACTTGAAATGGCCGCAGTAAACACGATATATTATGCAAATAGCTGTTGAATTAGCGTTGCTCCACATTGTAAACACGATGTATTATGCAAATAGATGTTGAATGAATAACGATTTAAATAGAATGAATTCGTCATCACCGTAATTATTCAATTTAATAATATAATATCATATAAAATGTTCACTTTGTGATATTGCGTCAATGAATTAAGGCACGATGATGAATCCATTTTATATAAATTTGGATGTCATTTGTATATACTTTCAACCTGCGGCTTGAGACAAAATGAAAAATATAATATATAAAAGACACCACCATACAAAAATGAGCACACGGTAATAGAATCATAAATCATAAATATATAGAAAATCATTACTTTGGTATGACGACCTAATTAAAACTAATTTGGAAGTACTTAATTAGTAGAAAAATTAATGAAAATGGTTAGAAATTTTTTAGTTTTAACGATAAGGACAAAATAGAAAATAAAGTGAATGAGATCAGGATTGAACTTTGTAAAAAAATGATTTTTCATTAAAAGAGACAATACTTAGAATTTTTTGTTAAAACTACCTTAAACGGTTAAATAAACGCCCCGAAAAGGCGGACCGGCACCCTGAGTCAAGTCGGGAAGCTTCTGCACATGCCACAAATCAGACCATACTTTTTTGAATAATGATTGCAATACAACTTCTTTATCAGACAAATGACTTGTTTGGCAACTCAGATGAGGTAATTTGAAAATGGCTGAAGACTTTTAAAGGGGAATACCATGGGCCGCTCAAAATTCACTCTGAAAATTCGACCTAAAGAGTTAGAAGAGAACATCGTTGGACGTTCTGGCATCTTTGCCGTCGAATAGATTTCCCAGTTTACCCAAAAAAAAAAAAAAACAAACAAATTTGCATGTGGACCAAAGGCGGGCTGCTACATATTGATATCTGTTTTTCTCTTTTACCAAAAAAAAAATCTGTTTTTCTCGATTCCTTCCAACGCCAATAAACAAGTGTCCCCAAATTAAAGCTAATACCCATCATCAAACAACACCACTCACACTTTGGTTTAGTAAAGTCTTTTATTTTTATTGTTTCGAGAAACAACTATACTTAATTCAAAGAGAAGTGTCAGAAACACTCGAGATTCATAGAGTTAAATAATATTTCTAGCTTGGCCGGGGAGCATTTCACCTCTCTGTATACGACTAGTGTAATATTTCACTCTATGAATCTCGACTAGTATAATGTCCTAAAAATGTGATAATATTTGTCGTAAAGTTTGTTTTTCTAAAGACATAGTTCCGCACAGCTGACTCAAAAGAAAAAGCAACTTGTTTGATGCCTTTAATTATTATTCTGATCCTTAAAAGTATTTATTTATGAAATCAGATCTATGCGGACCTCAAAAACTGAGTCTAATGATTAAATGATCTGAATAGTTAAAATTTGATTTAACAGTTATAAATACGGAATTTTTTTAAAAATTATAATAATTATAATTATTTGATTAAATTTCAACGATCCATATCATTTGATCTTTACACTTAGTTTTTCTAGATCCGAAAAGGATCTGGATTCTTTATTTATGTATAAGTAATAGTTAAAGCTTTCTCTTCATCCCGTTTCAATCAATTTTCTCTCTGTAATATAATTAATATGAAACTAAAATATAGGCTTTTTATAGCACATGCCTACATCTTTCTGGACTTGGAATTCCAACTTTTCTTACCAAGAGTCATGGTAGGCGACCGTCTAATAAAAAACCATCAAATCATCGATTCACAGAATATATAAATACAATATCACAATCTTCCTCCACCTCAAAAATTATTACTCTAGGAGTTTCACAAGAAATGCTCACAGAAATGATGAAATTGGAAGGAGAAATCCCAAACTTTTTCATGGTCTGGATTTTGGTTGTGGCATCACTATCCTACTGTCACACCGTCGGCAACCTCACTTCTCCCGGCACCACCAGACTCCTCGCCATCCTCCCCGTCGTATTCTTCTTCTTCTACCTCCCTCTCAATCTCACCACCATTTTTCTCGGCGGCCCATCGTCTTTCTTCCTCGCTTGGCTTGCCAACTTCAAGCTCCTCCTCTTTGCCTTTAACAAAGGCCCCCTCGCCACCACCCCTCCCACTTCCATCTATCATTTCATCCCCTTAGCTTGCCTTCCAATCAAATTCCGAAACGACCCCAAAACCCCTGAAAAGAAGACGGAACGTCCAGCGCAAAGAATTACTAATTCAAAACCTCTCCCAAAAGGCCAGAAGTCGACTCTCAACTACGTGATCAAGGCTTTGATTTTTGCAACATCAGTACAAGTGTATCACAAAAAACAGTTTATTCACCCTAAAATCTTACTTTTCCTCTACTCCATTTACATGTACACCGGCCTTGAACTTATCCTCGCCTTGGTCGCATCCCTGGCCCGAGTCTTCCTTGGCGTTGATTTCGAGCCGCAGTTCGACGAACCCTACCTCGCCACCTCACTGCAGGACTTCTGGGGACGCAGATGGAACATCATGGTGAGCAAGATCCTCCACCCGACCGTATACGAACCCGTTCGGAAAATCTCCACCCGTGCCCTAGGGAGAAAGCTAGCCCCACTACCGGCAGTACTCGCGTCGTTTTTCGTATCGGCGGTGATGCATGAGCTCATCTTCTATTACATTGGACGGAAGTGGCCCACATGGGAGCTGACGTGCTTCTTCCTCCTCCACGGAATATGTTTGGCCGTTGAGATTGAGATCAAGAAGGCTTTTGACGGTAAGTGGCGGTTGCCTGCCGCCGTTTCGGGGCCATTGGCGATGGCATTTGTGGTGGCGACAGGGGTATGGTTGTTTTTGCCGTCTCTTATGGTGCGGTGTGAAGCGGACGCCATGGCGTACAGAGAATATACTGCATTCACTGAGTTTATGAAAAGTGTCAGTAACTTTGTTAAAGTTAATTCTTCTTTCTTGATCGTAGCTGGAAAATAAAAAAGCACTTTCATTATTGTATGATTAATTCGTTAGTGCAACTGAGGAATCCCAGAATTTAATAAATTATCAAAGTTGGAAACTTTGTAATTTTGTTGACACTTATAGAAAAATTGCTTTCATTTCAAGGAAAACTAATGAAAATATATTGAAAACTTTGAGTTTTAACTGAAATGATAAAATAAATGGTAAAATAAATAGTATCATGATTGATTTTTTAGTGTAAAAATATGATCTTTCATTAAAATGAACAGTACCGAAAACTTTTCGTTAAAATTTATTTTATTTTATTAATCGCTCGAATAGCACTTCCATTTTGATAAAAATAAGTGCCTATTTTGCCTGGTTAGTTAAAGTTTGTGGCTGGTGTCAAAATTCATTTTAGCTTAGTCAAGTTAGAAAGAACAATATACTTCGAGAATATTTTAATGAAAAATGATGTAAGATGATTATATTTCTTATTCGTAACATGTGCGTTTCTATGAATACTTTTCATACTCAAATTAGAATTATCTTCTACGTTATTTAGATTAATTTAATATAGAACTATAGCTTGAACCAAAACATTAAGTTGCATTAACATGGTTGTTACTTCAACTTCTATGCATGCTTGCATAGCAATGTGTTTCGCGTAGCTACTTTTTGTGGCGGGCGACCAGAACATTAACATCAAGCTTCGTTTTGTCTCTGTTTGTGTAATCCGGAGCTTGACTCTGCTGGTTCGATCAGTCTAATGGTCTTTATTTGTTTGTGGACCCAGTCCAGCCCAGCCTAACTGCTTCAATTTCTAAGTGGAGACCAGCGCAATGCCAGTCTTGTTTAAATTACGCAGTAATATTTATTTTCTCTGGAATTCACACTTTTTTCATGTCAATAATTTTTTCAAACCTCCATTTTTTTCAACAAGTGTGTACGCACGGATCACGAGGGACCTGCAGCAGTAGGGCACCAACCCAAAAGGTGCATGTGACTTTGTGAGCGCGAGGAGAGGTTCTACCGTATGCCAACAGATCGTGAGGTCATTCCACTTTACATTCTTTTGTATTTGGTTGGTCCCCCACACTCCAGTTTCATTTGATGATTGTCTCTTAAAAATGAATTTTCTTTACTTAAAACCCAACATAGTTTTTTGTCTGAATAAAATCTACTGATTAGGTTCCACATAATCAAAATTATTAATTAAATTTGATTTCACGTATTTTAAAATTTATAGACGATTAAAATATCATTCATTACATGATATACACATGATAATTTATGTTATAAAAATCAATGTACATTAATACCAAATAGAGCTAATCTATGAACAATTGTATTACACGTCCAAGGGACATAACTGAAGCATATATAATCAAGTTTGCAGGTGGCAAAATGCCAAGACATTCCATTCAAAAGCTCGGCTCAACCCACAAATGTGGAGTTAGGGAATTGATGGGTTCTCTTAGGTCAGCCTCGGCCCTTCCGTCTTCCATATAAAAAATACCCATGTCTATCTCTTCCTCTTTACGAAAAAGTGCTGGCGGATGATTCGTGTAATATATGCAATTAGCTTTACATCCGTAGTTTGAGGACTCGACAGAAAATGAAGAATTATAACCTAGGAATAGAGTTCTAGTTCCCAGGCTCTTAACCTCAGCGCCGTCGGACCAATGTCCGTTGCTCAATGGCACCTCGAAAACCCTAAACTCAACGGTAGGTACAAAAGAACGCGCGATGAGCAATAAGGCCCCTGCTGATTCCACAAGGTACTCTTTCTCGCAGAGGAAAGGGAACCCAAGTTCTGTCGGCAAGTTTGGAACAATAACCCTTGTCCTTGCTTGCATGGGATCTTCAATTTCACATACCAAGATTGTACCATAAGGGTCCACGGCATAAAACTTTCCCTTATAGTAAGTTATATCAAAATACAAGTGATCATCTTTTTCTGACTTCGTAAGGATGTTCCATTGTTGGTCGCCCATTCCCGGTCTACAAAATGCCAGTCTTTCCCAATTATGTATCATGACTGTGTAGTCGGACGAATAAGAAGGGCTCGACGACAAGACAAATTTCGTTACGAGGAAATCACCAAACAGCGTTTTCAAATTAAACAGGTCCAAGTCCGAGTGATGTTTCTTAAATGTTTCACCGTCTGGAAGCTCGATACGAGAATGGTTTAAAGGATGCAAGAGATTGAGTTTCGAGTCTTTATCAGATTGAGTCATTAGCCATCCTAGAGAAGAATAACACAACTTTCCCCTAACTAATTCTGGCATATTAAGTTGGAATACCTTACCGTTTTTCAAGTTGTAGAACTCACGCACCGTAGAGGTAGCGGTGCTGGTGGTGCTCTCCTTCTCCTTCTCCTTCTCCGGAAGCATGAGTAATGGAATTTGACGTCTTGTAGTAAAGTTTTCTTTGGTCGCGGCTGATTTCCATGATTTACAAACGGCACCAAAACCAATAAAATCTTCGAAGGTAAACAAGCGCTTGGCGATAGAAGCTATAAGATCGTGAGGAAGCGTCGACCAGAGAGGCATACGTTTTATTGGACAAACGAGAGCCATCAGTTAAGTCGGTAAAATGTTTTCCCTACAAGGAAGAGAGGGGTGAGGATAGTAATACAAGAGGGCTCATATTTATAGAGAGTTACATGCTTGATTACCTCTAATCCAATTCCCATATTAAGTATGAATCATAGTTTTCTCGTAGGTTTTGGATTACTTTTGGGTTATTCGGTTTTCTGTAGGATTATAATTTGGTAACATTCGTTTGAATAAATCCTTATTCGCTGATGCCTACAAAATAAAAAAATCCCCGACCAATTCCCTGTAGGATTCTAATTTAGCCGAGTTTCACTCAGCAAATAAAAGCGAGGAGAGCTTAGAAGCAGCATAGCCTCGAACCAGGATTGAGAGTTTTTCTTCATCATCAGCAGCGATAAAAGGCAATGCATAGACTCTGGTAATATTTTGCCTTCCTCATCTTGTTATATTGGGAAGTAAAGCAATTTATTAGATGAGGAAAATATAGAAAATTATCTTTAGAATTAGAAAAACTAACAATTGTAGCTTAAGCAGACGTATATCAAGCCTGTAGTTAGTTAGGGCAGTACACTCACAACTAATGCATCTCGGAACATTAGATTGGAGTAATTTACAATATCAACTTATCTGAGATACTGATATTGAAATGAACATGAGAAACCTTATAAGTCAAAGAGAAACATACTTCATTTCATGTCAAAGAGAAACATCAGGCTTTCTTGTGCTTCTGAAGTCTAAAGATTAACTAACCCATCTCGCACAACCTAAGGACCGGGTCTCTCTCTCTCTCTCTTTTTAATGACCCAGATCTCTCTTTCTCTCTTCTACATCTAGAATCCACGGATCTTTGAACTACGGACACATATATACGGAGAGGATCTCGACTCAAATAATGTTAGGGTCATTTCACACCCGGCCCAAAAATGCAGCCCAAATACCTTAATTTTCTGTGAAGAAAGGCCCAACCATTATGACGAATGGCACAACTGTAATTAGTTCGAAATCGGAAAAACAACGAGACGAAACCGGAAAAACAAAAACAACCCAACTCGAAGGCAATTCGAGTTTCATGCACTATAGAACATGCCAAGGAATTAACTTTTTTTATTTCACATCAATAAAACAGGGTTCATACAAACCGCATTATCCACGGCCAACTTATAAAGAAAACAGACCGGACTACTCCGGTTTTCGGAGGATGAAGCGAACAAATATACCGGTTCAAGGTAGTACATCAGCCAGTAAACCTATGTATCCAACCAACTCTCCTCGAAAATTATACATCCAAATCCTAAATGGAAAGTCTGGAACAATTATGCGTGGCTCAATTCTGCAAGAACAAATTCTTCTATATCACTCTCCTTCGGTTAGGATTGGAACAATGAGTGGTTTCATCTGTGCAAGGTATACGATCGCCCACCTACCAAGTACGAAAGGAGCATGCTAAGTTAATATCCGGGAGCGGGAAGTTTGAAAAGGAGTAACATTAAAAGTCCACCAACTGAAGCAAATACGAATTGATTAAATTTTCCAAAAAATTCACCGAAAAAATCAAGGGGAAGGGTCAAAGACATACATCATCCAACAGCACACTACCGCAGTGATAACAAGTGTAAAGTGGAGCCTGCACAAGAACAAAACAATACGTTTAGCTGTGAGAGGATTTGAAAGATGCCCCCAACAGCAGGAAGGTCCAGAAGTGTTTGAATCTTAATCGTGTATGCAACACTGAGCAGTAAGTCTAGATGTCGATGTTTGAGTAAATATCAAAGCAACAACGCCCTATCTCATTTGATGCAGATGCAAATGTCAAGGATAAAAAATCTTTACATATTTCACGAATGTAACATCTAAATCATCCAATATAAATTCAACGGGATCTCCTCGATATGTCTAACTAAAACTCTCACTAATCTCCTTGGATGTATAGAATAAGATTAAGAACAGTATTATCACAGTCTTCCTTTCACACACATTCCACCAATTACCTTATTCGGGCGACGATAGACAGAAGTTTCACAGTAACTCATCGACAGCATTCATTACATAAACACCAAGAAACATTTAAAACAACATGATTAGCACCATGTTTCACGTTTCCCATGCTAAAGCATCTGGCCAAAATCTTCTTCTTTTCTTAGTAATTTCCCAACAATCTATGTGGTACTTTGGTAGATTTTCCCAAAATCCACCATTCACTAAAACGCAACTAAAATGTAGTTTATCCATTAGTTAATTACTATCCCAAGTTTCTAACTTTTCCCAAAATCCACCATTCACTAAAACGCAACTAAAATGTAGTTTATCCATTAGTTAATTACTATCCCAAGTTTCTAACTTTCTAGCCCTTGAAAGATCCAAATTTGATCACAGAAAATCAGTTTTAATTGCACAATCAGCATACAGACTCTAACAGTTCCAATTTGATAATCCCTAAATTCAAAACATCAATAGTTTCCAAATTAACATCGAAATTACTTCAAATTATCGAATCAACAATTCGAAAATAAGTTTAATACCTAAAATCTTTGGATTCACAAAATAAAAAAACTAGCTGAGTTGCGAGACATACAAGTTTGCTGATGCGCCTCTGCCGCAGCAAATTCTGACCATGAGGGAAGCAATTACGCTCACCATTGCAAAGATTAGAGTTGTAACCACAAAACCCATTTCGATCTTATCCGATTCCAACACTTATTCTTCCGGAAATCACATCCGCAAACAGTTGATCTGCAAAAAGCAATCTTTTTCTCTATAAAACTTGTTACAGATCAGAACCCAATTCGATTTTAACGTGTACTTAAAATCGAATTCGATCTTCAACAAAGAGAAATGCAAGAGGGAATGAAAGAGGGAGAGCTTACTAAGCTTAGTGGTTGTCTTGAATGAATGATATGATTGTCTTCCAAAAACAAATTGTTACGTTGCCTGAGGCTCCGACCTCTGGTTTTTGCTGTGACGGGTACAGGATGACTAGTAGACCGTATGAATTGGAAGGGCATTTTGGTACGTTAAGTCTTCTTCTACATTCCACAATGGCATAGTAAAAGGTTTATTTTATTTTATTTTATTTTATTATTTGGTAATCAATGGTAAAACATTCTTAGGATGATATTTTTAGCGTGTGTACTTTTAACATATTTTTTTAATTTTTGATCATCGAATCAAATAAATTAAAAAAATTAAATAACATAAATTAATAAAAGATGTGTGAAAAGTAAAATAGTGTGTTGATCTCCCACCATTATTTTTAATGCATTCTGGAACTTTAACATCAGTCTCTCATTTCTTCTAAAATTAAAATATTGCCACTTTATACTCAGTATTGTTTTTAAAAAAAAAAAAATTTATTATGAAGAGAGGGTAGAGTTTTTGGATGAATCGTGAAGATAAAGTTCTGGATGATATGAAGAAAGGAACGCTCATCACAAATAAATTACTCTCGCGAAGGTGCTTTTGTTAAGGTTCACAGAACATCAGCATGCACTTGTAGCCCTTAAACCATCTCCAACTCTTGGCCTAAAATTTAAAATTTTTAGCTCATAAAATTTAGGTTTTAGCCCATAAATAATTTTTTTGCTTCAACCTTTTTGACCTAAAATTTTAGGTCCATATTATTAAACAATGAATTTAAGCTTTTTTTTTTTTCCTTTTCTAAATTCACTTTAAAAAAAAAATAAAATTACGTAGACTATCCTAAATTAATTTTATGAACATTTTATTCTAAAAATATTTAAATTCCGATAATTATTGAAAAGTCACTAAATCGATACATGAAACTCATGAAACATTATGGAAGAATATGAAAATCATGATAGAGATGTATAAACACAAAATATATGAAACACACAAGACATACAAAACACATATGAATCACATACAAAACACATGAAATAGATGTATAACACACCAAACATGTGAAACACATGACACACACGAGACTCATACCAAATACATACAAAACATATGATAGAGATGTATAACACACCAAACATGTGAAACACATAACACACATGAAACATATACCAAATACATTCAAAACAAATGAAACGCATGAAACACAAACCTACACACATGAAACGCAAACCTACAATCATCCTCTATATAAGCATAGGTTGAATATCTAACCATCAAACAACATATTTACCAATGTTCCAACTTTCAAAGTGTTTTTGCTTCCTCAAAATCATCAATATCTCATCAATGGATGATAGAAAAAGGTATAGCTTGGCAATGTAGATGGCACAATATCAAGCAAGTCTTGCAAATGCAAAAATGAGCAACGAAGAAGCTGAATTTGCAAACTCGCTTATGCAATATGAGCACCATGTGTAAGTGGTAATTAATCATGGCGAAAGAAGAAGATTTTGCGATAGAAAAAAGGATTAAATCATGCATGGCGAAAGGAAATAAATATTCACCTGCAGACTATGACACCTTTCTTTCTTTCTTATCCGAGTCTTATCTCCTCTCTTTCTTCTTTCATTCTCGATCTCCGGAGTCACCTTTCTTTCTTCCCTCTATTTGAATCTCTGAATCTCCATGATATGAGTGTTTTAGTTAATGATGTATTTACGAAATGATTTCCCAGCTATTATATACATCAGAGTCCAGGTCGGTTATTTCGATTTTATTTTTCAAAACCTGTTCAGCACGGGAGGGGGTATGGGGACCTAAATGACATTGTAAATAAAGCATTACGGTAGCAAATTTAAAATCAATAGGCAGGACGAATTTTGCAAATTTAATAATGAAGGGGCATCGGACCTAAACAACGTTCCTCATAAACCAAAAAAATAATACGTGCACGGAATCAAAAAATATTAACAGAAAAATATCGTCTTCAAATGTTAATATGCTATTAATATATGTACCATATCATTCGTTTGACGATATTCATACAGAGAGATTCATATTTAGGTGCAAAACATAAGAGAGTTTAGGGAAAATAACTTGCACATAATGAATTTATCGTCATTTTGACGTCCTCCATCCAGTTACGCATGACCATATGACGAAAAACGAAAAATTTATACGTGATAATGTATGACCGGAATTCCGTGTATGGGTAATTCTGTTGCAATTGACGGATGCCCCGCCGGCTGGGGCAAACTAATTTTGACATCACTATGGGCTGGGCTTGACATGCAAATTGGGTTTCATTTTATATTTGGGCCTTAGAACAAAAAAACTATAGCCCTTTTACATTTTAGACATTGGCGGCGGAAGCGCACCGAGCACGTGGATTGCCGCGGATCTGGCGACTATATGAATATATATATATATATATATATATATATGTTTTTACTATCTTCCGGAATAGAAATTTTAATCGACCCCAAAAAGATAAAAAAGAAAATTCTCTCTACGCGAAGGAACAAGGAACTAAATTCACAACCGATACTCGATCCCTGTTGTTTAATCAAAAGGTAATCATCGAGTTGTGGAATGAATTGGTAAATTGTTGAAGTTGTTAGGTTTTGGATTCAGCTTTCGTTTTCCTGGGAATTAGGATTTTCTCTCTGAATCGGTGTTTGTTTCTCGGGAAAATTGCGTGGTTTTGCAGGAGGTGAAATGTCGACGGCCGATTTGATACTGAGACCTGAGTGTGGCGGATGTAAAACGACCAAGGATTTATACGGAAGCAATTGCAAGCACTTGACTCTGTGCGACGACTGTGGCAAAAAAATGGCTCTCAACCGCGCCAAGTGCAACGAGTGCGGCGCCGTCGTCACTCGCTTAATTCGAGTTCGCCCTCTCTCTCTCTCTCTCTCTCTCTCTCTATATATATATATATAAAGATTAATTGCTGTATTTGTTCTGAAATAGGAATATAATGTTCGAGCGAGTACTGTCAATGACAAGAACTACTTCATTGGGAGATTTGTGACGGGGTTGCCGAGTTTTTCGAAGACGAAGAATTCTGAAAATAAATGGTCTCTCCACAAGGATGGACTGCAAGGACGTCAACTTAGTGATGCTATGCGGGTATTTTCAATTCAAATTATGCCCATTGGCTATTACTTGCTTGGTTTTCGCCGTTTTGCGAATATCTTTTGGAGATTGTGTTGCTATAGCTAATAACCACTATAAACTTGTGAATTGTTTGTGACCCGATTGTATCAGCATTTTAAAGCGCGAGTTGAGATTCAAATGCTTTCTCTTCTTGTAATTTTCTTTCATTATGTTCCTCTCGGAATTAGTAAGTTGTGGGATGTTTCATGGACTGACATTAGGATCGTTTGCCCTCCTTCGTATTTACATTACATTTCGTTATGTAGGAGAAGTACAAGAATAAACCCTGGGTTTTGGAGGACGAAAGTGGCCGGTCTCAGTACCAGGGTCATCTTGAAGGTGCACAGACTGCAACCTACTACTTGCTAATAAAGCATCCCTCTGGAAAGGAGTTTTCGGCAATTCCTGCTGGTTCTTGGTACACAGGCCTGACCAATTTTTACTACCGCTTTTTTAATTTTACGGTTCATCACTAATAGTCTTGGCATGAATGTGGGTAAAAGCATTTCATAATTACCAATTATGGCCACGGTTGTTCTATCCATTAGCTTATCAAAACAATGTTGTTTCGACAATATCTCTTAGGTTCAATTTCAACAAGGTTGCACAGTACAAACAACTTACATTGGAGGAAGCCGAAGAGAAGATTAGTAATAGGAAAAAGACTGCAGATGGATATGAAAGATGGATGATGAAAGCTGCAAATAATGGAGCTGCTTTATTTGGTGAAGTGGAGAGGTTTGACAACGATAATGGTGTGGCTGGTGGGAAGGGACGAAAAAAGGCAGCTGCTGGTGGTGATGATGAAGAAGGAAATGGTTCAGATAGAGGAGATGAGGATGATGAAGAAGAGTTGGAAAGGAAGAAAAGATTGAACAAAAGAGGTGGTGACGGTGATGGTGATGATGATGATGAAGGCGCAAGGGGAGGTGATGCGGACATGGATGACGATGATATCGAGAAGGGTAAACATTTATCCTCCTTTGTTTTGCCTTATGTACAAAATATCATGAGCTATTTTTTTTTTCTTTCTAACCTAATGAATTGCTACCCAATACCATTATTTATCACCACAAGTTTTTAGAAGAGTGAAATTCAGCTTGTACCTACTTGCCATGGAATAATGCTGCATATACAGACATCATACCTGCCTCTATTTCACTGTTTTTTATTATTTTGTTATTTTTTATTTTTAATTTGTCTCGTGAAGAGTATTTTTCTGTAAAGTATTTGATTACTTCATTAGTAAGGGTTTTAATGTTAGTTCTATGTTTCTTCATCCTTAGGGAAAGTTGTATCAAATAAGTCTTGTCCAGATGTCTTTTTTTTTTTTTTGTTTTTTTTTTTGTGAACAGAACAGGGGCACTTGATGAAGTACATTATAATCATGTCTGGATTATGTTTGTTCCATGTCTTCCTTTTTAATAATCAAGTCTCCTCTTATTGTAGGTGATGACTGGGAGCACGAAGAAATTTTCACTGATGATGATGAAGCTGTTGGCAACAATCCTGAGGAAAGGGAAGATTTGGAACCAGAGATTCCAGCTCCTCCAGAAATTAAGCAGGTTTGTTGCACAAATGTCTCCCAATTGGTTAATTTCTATATTATGCGTTATGTTGCTTTATGTATCTTTAAGTATGCCTTCTACTAGTAAATATCTGGTTTTGATGATATGTATAAATATTTAGCTGTTGAACCAAAAGAGGGGCCTGGTGGTATAATGGTTTTAATTTATAAAAAATCATTGATGTTTGCTACGCACTCTTTTTGTATTATGTAGAACCCACAACCACTATTTGTTAAGAGTTCAGTTAGAAACTAATACTGATGAGGATAATAGGTAGACGGATTTTGATATTTGTCTACAAATTGATTTGAACATTTTTATATTTGAAAACTATGCTATGGAATATAGTACAGCAGTCAAGACCTAGTTATCTTGCATGTTCATTTTGGGGGAGTGTCTTGGGTTTTTCTGTTAGTTCCCTTCACATCTTGATAATTCCTTGTGCTATTATCTGTTTAAGTTTGAGCCTCAATTTTTATTGATATGAGTGTCATAAATTATAACGGTTTGATTTCCTCCTCTATTGGCACTGGTGTGTTCTGTTTTCACCATGTATCTGGTGGTACCTTGGAAGTTCGTACACGTGTATGTCAGTTTTATCCATGGTGCAAGTGCTTTGTGCATTGTGGCTCTTTGTACAATTTAAAGATGGCCTTTTTTTAATATGTTTTTTCTCACAGGATGATGAGGACGAGGATGAAGATGACAAAGAGGGTGGACTGAGCAAATCAGGAAAAGAGTTGAAGAAGCTACTTGGGCGAAGTGGTGGGCTGAATGATTCAGATGTGGAGGATGACGACGACGATGATGATGATGTAAGTTATTTATTTATTTTTTAGCATACTCAACAGGAGTAGATTCCAATGTCCCATAATAACAACTCAAGTGCTTTACTTGTCTATTTAAAGCTGCATCTATTATATGATTTTATTTTTTTCCCTGTACTACGTGCATTTTGAAAAGCAGTGGTACATTTTTGTTGATGCTACCAGTATGTTTTATTCATAGACACGGGAGTTTTGAAGATTTGATTTGTATTTAAAAGTGCATCACAGCTCTTCTCCCACTAATTCGCCTTTTCTTTCTCATGTGTCCAGATGGATGATGATATTGGCTTTCCTTCAGAGCTGGCTCCAAAGCAGAAGGATGCACCCAAAGAGGAACCATCTGACAACAGTCCCTCAAAACCAACACCTTCTGCGTCCAGTCGAGGAACTACATCAACCTCCAAGTCCTCAAAGGGAAAGAGAAAATCAAGTGGCGATGATGCTAAGGCATCTAACAGTGCACCTCCCAAGAAGGTCAAGACTGAAAATGTACGTTTTGCTACTTTGTTTTTATCAGATTTATTTTTGGAAGCTTTGAAACTCCCCATACTCGCAAATGATATGCTATTCATTTATATTGTATCCAAATTAGGAACAAAAATCCATCAAAGAGGAGCCTGTGTCTGTACCTGCTTCTAAAAGTAGTGCGCCTCCAAAAGGTACTCCGCCGGTGAAAACGGAGCCATCATCATCTGGTGGACGCGTCACCGAGGAAGAAATCAGGGCCGTGTTGATGCAGAGAACACCACTTACCACGAATGATCTTGTTTCTAGATTTAAGGGAAGACTCAAATCGTCTGAGGTACGATCTATCACGTTTGTACCATTGTTTGGACTCATTTTCCAGGCTCTGCCCTCTTCTGTTTTGAATTTGAAGAACGTAGACTGGATAATTAGAATTGTGGTAGTTTCCTTATTTCTTCATTCTGTCTATGGTGCAGGAAAAGGCTGCTTTTTCGAGTATTCTAAGGAGAATTTCTAAGATAAAGAAGGGCAACAACGGAACCAGCAGCTTTATAGTACTGAAAGAACGATGATTGGATCCCCCAATACACTGAGGTGCCCTCTCTGAGGAATTACGACTACTGTCTAGTGTATTGATCTTGTGTATAATTGAGATTGTACGATGCTAGCATCAGTCGCTCGTGGGTGCATGACTAGAATGGTAGCCATTGCTCTTTGTGGGCTCTCCATAGATCAATGGCTAGAACAACACTGTGCTTATAGGTCTATTGTGCTTGTAATTATACTAAATCGTCAGAATTTGTAATTTTCTTTCGTGTTTTTGGGATAATCGCTTCGTTGCTAACTCGAAATGAATTGATTTATAATTTTAAGAGTCTCGTTTTCTTACTAGATTATAATTAATACAAACCAAAATCCAAATAAGTACCAATCCTCACTCTCTTACTAAATTAGAATTAACACACATGACATACTTCTAACTCTAATTACCCAATACATAACAAAGCAACCCAAATGACAACACCATGAGGCTTGCAGTGAGATGGGCCGAACCAGAAGGCGTTTTGGGCCCTTCAGCTGCAACCACCACGGAGCCCTTTGATTCTGCCACGAGGGAGTTGGACGTTTCAGGAGCTTGATATGATTGAGGCATAACTTCCACGTGTAGTTTGAGGCCCTTCTTGCAGCTGTCGACGTTACTGCTAGCGAAGTACCGGAGTCCTTCCTTGTCCATCGAGATGCTATCCAGGCCGTCCGTGAACATCCTGATTGGGTTGGTTACATCGCACGATTCGAATTCCTCCTTGCTCTTCACTTCAGCTATGTACCCATGCGCCGCGGAGTAGGCTAGCCCTGCTCATATTCATAAAAGTGAGAAAAAAAAAATTAAAGAATTCGAATAATAAACCAAATGCATGAAAATATCCTTACTTCCTTTCCACTTCATTCTCCTTTTATTCGGGAACAGAACAGACAAATGGCTTGGTTAGAGGTGCCAAGAAAACTAAACCAAAGAGAGACGGATAGGGCTGGTTTGCGATTGCTTTTATCGGAAGCGTTATATGAATAGCAAAAATTCAACTTAATAGGTAGTTTTTTGTAAGTACTCTTAAACTTTTAGTCAACCGATGTTAGAACATAATTTTCATAACACAATATTGCTTTTCGTAACGCATAAGCACTTTTAAGTTTCTCCCGACCGACATCTTAAGCGATTTAACCATTTCAAAAGCAGATCAATTAAGCATAAATTGATTCGACTCCTTAGAATTTGGTAACTTCAACTTCATTATCAACCACTTATGAATCTTTTTTCGGATTACCCCCATTTATCTCAAGTTTTGGATTGAACTAATCCATTGACGCAAATAATTCATGGAAAAAATCGAGTTATCTGTGCCCTATAAGTAAAACCAAACAAACCCTTATTAAGCTTGAGAGAGAGGAGGAGAGAGAAGACTCACACATCTTATCTCCGGCCCTAAATGTTTTGCCCGAGGACCAAGAAGCGAGGTCGGAGGATGGATCCCAGCCGCGGTCTCCTCCGACCACATGGTGCACTTGTGCTCCAACCAAGCTCCCTCCGAGGCTCACGGCGGCGATACCAACCGCCAAAACAGCAACAGCCACCTTCAATGCTACAGCTCCAGCCATTAGCTCACAAGAGTCTCTCCTCTGGGCACCAGCCAAAGAGTTTGCTTTTTATCTCTCTTTTTATCTGAACAAAAGCTAAATGCAACAGAGAAAGAGAGTGATTTAAAGGCGCACCTTTTTCGGTTTTTAGCAATGAATTACTTTCCAAGCAATTTCCCACTCGTTTAAACCAAAACAAGCGAAGACTGGTTGTTCATACTCCTTTTCTACGTGTACAACTACCACTGGGCCACTACCCTACTCCTTTTTTACGAGAATACCCCTCTGTTGTTGTCCCCACTTGGAGGTGCTTAAATGCCTTCAAAGTCAGAAATTGGTATATCAAAATATCATAAGATAAAAGACCGTATATTAAAAAAAATATTTTAATTACTTATATTATAATATTTGACGTACCAAGTTGTGTTTTTAGCACATAAAAAAAGTTGCCTGCAAAGCAATGAGTGTGGTCTTGTGCTGCGGTACCCCGTAGCATAGCTAGTAGTAGCACAAAGGACGTTCCACCTAATTACCAAATTACCAATTTATTACCAGATGCCAACCTTGACGTTCGTTCGTGGCCTAGACCTAGAGACTAGAGAGACACTTGCATGAAATGTATTACCGCTGACTTGGCTTCTCAAGTCACTAATATAACTAAGTTCACGTAAAAAGAGTTGTTCAGATGATCTAATGTCACATATGTACCTTCATGTCACAAGAATTTTTCTCCATTACCAAACCTTCATTACGGACTCATTACTAACAATCTCATGCGACTATAAAACATGCTATAATGTGGCTGATTAAACAGGGTTCTTTTCTCCTTATACTAGTCTTTTTATTTAATGAAAGTAACTTAGTTTGACAAAAAAAAAAAAGGATCTAGATCCTCTCCGGATCTAAGGATGCCGAGTCTAGGGATCAGTTAATGAAATTTCAACGGGCCGGATCAATTGATCCTTGGGCTCAGGATCTGGATCCAAAAAAAAAAGACCCCCTACCTTGGGTAGGTAGCAAATCACTTTATGATCAATTGAGAAGAATTAAAGCTTGCAGACGAAGACCCATACCTGGAAGGTAATAAGAAGGGCTCCCTACTAATCATGGGTAGTAAGCAACATCAAATGAATTAACGTTGCAGAAGACCTTGTGCCTGAAAGGAGAAGGGCACCCTACCCCTTATGGCAATATAAAAAAAATACATGAGTACGCCATAAAAATTCGAAGAAGCGTTTGAAAATTGAACGGTAGGTATGCTTTTCTTCTTTTCTACTCCCCAACGAAACCCTAGCTGTCACCACCAGGATCGTACGTACCCTCTACCATGGTCCATGCATGGTAATCAAATTTTGGAGCAGAGAGCTGGATGATGAGCAGATCTCATGTGATGTGAATCATGTGATCACTTCCGTTCATACGCACAACATGAACTTGTGGTCCTAAATGAAAATCAACTACGTTACCATGTATAATCTCTATTTGAAAAAATTTCTTGCAATTGGTTGTATATTTATTGTTTTTATCGCTCTTTCTACTGTATATACCTCTCACTTTTATAGTAAAAACATAAGAAGGAATTACCCATCAGAATATACAGTCAAAGAGTAGGAATCTCCTCCATTAATTTAGTACACAAACAATTATGGTATCCGTCAGTCAGATACTTTGTTAATTTCGTGGGACTCGTGCCTTTTATTAATGAGGAATTGTGCCTGCAGGCTACAGAAGATTGCCGAGTTTTATGCTCTCAAGTCTCAACTGTGAAGAATTTTCCAACAAAAAAGAAGGAAATAAAAAAGGGCTGGATCAATGCAGAACATGCCATAAATAAAATTAAAAAAAATAAATACATAAAATTTGCTTGTTGGCGAGATAAGAAAATCTGTAGATTTTGATACACTGATTTTAGAGCAATATACATATCACATGACTCGCAGCTTACCAGTTATCAGTAGTTACTGCATGGATCACGTCCCGTCCAACCGATTTTCCACTCTTCAAAGTCTACTACCTAAAGATAATCACTTCAACTTCCACATGCATCATCATTAATTACTTGTTGTGTGATACTGGAAGCCATCGATCGTAATAAAGCAAACGCGCAATCAAAACCCAAAACCAAATATGATAACGAACAATTGGGTGTGTTTGATTAATTAAGATATGAAATCTTAACAGGGTAGATTATGTATTAATCGATGTCTTCATCATTATCGCTGTCGTCCGATGGGTATAATATGATAATATCAACTTCTTCAGGCAATCGAAAGCTCACATTCTTTTTCAACTTATGAGTTTTAGACTCATTTAGTTGTGTATTAATACTTCTGCAGCTCATTTCAACTACTTATATTAAAATATCATAAGACATGTGACTGTATACTAAAAAAGAATATTTCAACTACTTATATTATGATATTTAGTATATCAGGTTGTGTTTCTAACACACCGAAAAAGTTGTCTGCAAAGTAATGAGTGTGATCTTGTGCTAGGATACCCCGTACCATAGCAAGTAGTAGCACTAAGGACGTTCCACCTAATTACCAAATTACCAATTTATTACCATATGCCAACCTTGACGTTCGTTCGTGGCCTAGACCTGGAGCAATACTTGCATTATAAGTTTTACCGCTGCCTTGGCTTCTTGAGTCACTAATATAATTAACTTCATGTAAAAAGAGTTGTACAAATGATCTTGTATTAGTGGTTCAAAATGTCATAGACGACATACATATATACGTTCATTTCATAAGAATTTTTCTCCATTACCAAACCTTCATTACATACTCATTACTAACAATCTCATGCAACTATAAAACATACTATAAGAATTTGGAATGTTATACATACTAATTATATGCCCTATTATAAATGTTAAGCACAAGCATGCCAATGTCCTAATTCTACATTTCTCTAATATTTTAAGCTCTTTCGTTAAGATAATTATAAAGCGAAGAATTCCACAGTTAACTACATGAGTCCACCAGCCGAGCATAGTACTGTGAGGTTGTAATTAAACAGGGCATTAAAGTGATTGATTGTATGATAAGGTTAATTAAGCCAAGCCCTAAGCCTTGAAGGTCATATAAGGACCCCTACCTTGGGTAGATAGCAAATCACTTTATGATCAATTGAGATGAATGAAAGCTTGCAGACGAAGACCCATACCTGGAAGGTAATAAGAAGGGCACCCTACCAATCATGGGTAGTAAGCAAAATCAAATGAATTGAACTCAGATAAATTAACGTTGCATAAGAAGACCTTGCGCCCGAAAGGAGAAGGGCGCACCCTACCCATGGCAATATCAAAAAAATTGTACGCCATAAAAATGCGAAGAAGCGTTTGATATTGAACGGTAGGTATGCTTTTCTTCTTTTCTACTCCCCAACGAAACCCTAGCTGTCACCACCAGGATCGTACGTACCCTCTACCATGATCCATGCATGGTAATCAAATTTTGGAGCAGAGAGCGGGATGATGAACAGATCTCATGTGATGTGAATCATGTGATTGCTTCCGTTCATACGCACAACATGAACTTGTGGTCCTAAATGAAAATTGACTACGGTACTATGTATAATCTCTATTTGGAGAAGATTTCTTGCAATCGGTTGTATATTTATTGTTTTTATCGCTCACTCTACTGTATCTACCTCTCACTTTTATAGTAAAAAAATAAGATGGAATTACCCATCAGAATATACAGTCAAAGAGTAGGAATCTCCTCCATTAATTTGGTACGCAAATAATTATGGTATCCATCAGTCAGATACTTTGTTAATTTCGTGGGACTTGTGTCTTTTATCAATGAGGAATTGTGCATGCAGGCTACAGAAGATTGCCTAGTTTTATGCTCTCAAGTCTCAACTCTGTGAAGAATTATCCAACAAAAGAAAAAAAAGGGTTTGATCAACGCAAAACATGCTATAAATAAACAAAAATTTGCTTGCTGGCGAGATATAGAAAATCTATAGATTTTGATACACTGATTTTGGAGCAATATACATATCACATGACTCGCAGCTTACCAATTATCAGTAATTGGTCCAACCGATTTTCCACTCTTCAAAGTCCTACTACTTAAAGATAATCCCTTCAACTTCCACACGCATCATCACTAATTACTTATTGTGTGATAATGGAACCCAAAACCAAATATGATAACGAGCAATTGGGTGTGTTTGATTAATTAAGATATGAAATCTTAAAGGGGTAGATTTTGTGTTAATCGATGTCTTCATCATTATCGCTGTCGTCCGATGGGTAAAATATGTGAATATCAGCTTCTTCAGGCAATCGAAAGCTCACCTTCTTTTTCACCTTCTTTTTCAACTCACGAGTTTTAGACTCATTTAGTTGTGTATTAATACTTATGCAGCTCATTGACGTCGAAATATCAGCAATGATCAAGTTTGCCCCATCAGATTTCTGATCCTCATTTTTGAGGGGTCTCTCGAGGCAGAAGCTGTCTTTTGCTTTAGAGAGAGAAGGCAATTTGGACGAAGAAGAAGATGCAGCTGGGTGTATCCTTTTCGAGCTGGGTCTAAGCACATACAATTCGCCTCCGTTGATGTTGTAGTTATGATCTGCCTTGACGTGGCCGGGAGACGTCAAGAGCCATTCTTCTAGAGTTATCATCTTGGTCCCATTCCCAGTTGCTCCAACAATTCCAGTATTTTTTGTGAAATTCTTGTAAATGTTCTTCTTCTTCTCTGGTGCCAATTGTCTCTTCCTTTTCTTGTTCTCCGATTTTAAGCAGTCCGGTTTCAGAAACTCCATGATCCACGGCACTGGACTCGAATTCCCACCACCATGGCCGCCAGATGATGACGGTGAGGACTTAAAATTGCTTTGATTAGCTCCCATTTCCGACCCTCTTAGCCTCTTTGACTAATTACAAAGTACGTAACTAATCAATATATGCGCGAACGAACGAAAGAGAATTAACTCAGCGTACGTTCGTCACAGATGAAATGAAAACGAGTCGAAGATGAGAAATGTATTGACTTTGTTTTTG